CGCCGTGGACGTTGGTGACGAGAATCGCAGCGGCAGAGATCATTCGGTAGGGCTGCAGTGTATGGGGTCCGCGATCCACGACTTCAACACGTTTTCCGAGGTCACACGACGCTTCCGGACCGAGTATATGACCCACCGGAGGGATGTGGCCAGCGCCTCGCACGTGTGGCGCTCCGGATGCCCGCGGTCAACGCGTCGGGAATGTCGTCGGCGCCGAGCTTCGGCCGCGCGCGCAGTCACGTTTTGGGCCCGCACGCATCGAACCAAGCACGCGGAATCTCTTATACCATCACTAAGGACCCGCACACGCCCCAAACGAGCCAGAAGCAGCGTTTCCGACGAGTCCGCACTCGGGCCTCTGAGAGCGTGGGCCGCCTACCGCTGTCACGCGACCGTTTTGAGCCGCGAAGTCGCCATCACGAACGGTTGGAACGGCTCCGCGCCCTCGTGGGGTACATGCGCCGCGGCCGGGGCCGTTTTTCCTTCGGCTACCGCGGCCTACGCGCCGCTTTGAGGCCCATCGAGGGCTAATCGGGTGTTCACCACCCAAAGGTTTGGGTGTGAGGTGCATTGAGAGTTCGATACTCAACCTTCGGGCCAGATGGACAGCTCCTAAAGAGCTACACCCTGCAGACATCAGGGGAGTTCATAATCCAACGGTCTTGCCCATGATCTTTTGAGAGAGATCTCTGATGTGTTCCGCCGTGCTTCTGACTTAATCAACAACTTGAGTTGGCTCCCTTAAAACCGACATGGCCCCTGGTAACTGTGTCCGGTCAATTTTTCCACTGCTTGTTCGAGGCCAATGGTCGACTCCAATCGCCATTCCAGGCACCATGTAAGAAGGTAGGATTCAGCCAACTCCCTTCAGTATTCTTCTCCAGGGCTCACCTGATGCAACATTCTTGGGGCGCAAATATGCAACTAGACCCCCTTCAGACTCACCAGTCGCGCATATCACAACAACCGCTTCGACGACGCCAGTCTGCGAGCGTAAAGCATGCTCAATCTCCCCCAACTCGATGCGATAGCCGCGGATTTTTACTTGAAAATCGATGCGTCCAGCAAATTCAAGTTCGCCATTTGGCCACCAACGTGCCAGATCTCCGGTTCGGTACGCTATGCCACGGCTTGAGTGGGCTGTAGGCCAAGGCATTGGAACAAAGCGCTCAGCTGTCAGCTCGTGCCGATTGAGGTAACCACGTGCTATCTGTACACCCCCAAGCAGGAGCTCCCCATAGCTTCCGATTGGCAAAAGCTCGACGGTCTATCGATCGACAACGTAGCAAGCAACGTTTTCGAGAGGAAATCCTATGGAATTCAGCCGCGACAGTGTAACGCCATCCTTCAATGTGGCCGCTATTGAGACTTCCGTGGGTCCGTACCAGTTCCATAGGGCAACACCAACCGGTAAATTAGCGACGAGCGAGTGTGAAAGCTCTTCACCGATCACTTGAACCAATGCCACGTTCTGCGGTACCGTCACAAGTGCCATTACTGAGGGTACATCGTAGAGTATGGTGAATTTTAAACTATCATCGAGATCAATGAGCGAAAGCCCGCTCTCTAGAAACACACACGTACCACCATGGACACCGAGACACTAAAAAAAAGATGCA